AAAAATAACATGATTCCAAAACAAAATTTAGAGGGTGTTTGGCTTAGCTTTTGAAAGCAAAAAGTCTTTTTGTAAAAGATGGAAAAGTCAGGATTCCGTGACTTTTCAAAAAGATGTCATTTCCTCTATTCAAAAAGATGTCATTTCCTCTATTGGAAAAGTTGGAAAAGTCAGGATTACCAAACATCTTTTTGACTTTTAGAAAAAGATAAAAGTCACTTTAAAAGTTATCCCAAACATCCTCTTAGTATATCTAACACTTTATTTTCATCTTTTACATTAAACATTTTAGTGTTAAATTGAATACCTACAATAACTCAAATTAACAATAGAGGCTTGGATTTGCTCACTTTCGTGTGATGAAATTGTTGAACATCTTTTTGCTACTTGTTTGTTAGCATGGTGTCAAGAAGCTCGCATAAAGTATAGTTAAGTAGTATAAATATCTTTAGTAATTTGTATATGTAAAACACCAATTGAAGTAAGTAAAACCCTTGCCAAGTTGCAAGTAATTGACAACTTCCCACAAAAAAACTCAATAAATTATTGGATAAAAGTTCCAAAAACAATCAAAATGAAACTTAGAAAATCTTTCAAGTCTGAACTAATCAAACATGATTTATAGAAGAAAAGAAAAAAAGCAAAAGCTGACCTAAGAACTAAGATGTGGTGTTTGACTCTGGTGCATCTTTTAAGTAAATTGGGTGAAGTACATGGCCTTCTTTGGGCTCAACATGGATCCACTTGCGTCCACTAAGCTTATGGCGTTCAAATTTCACACATCCTTCTTTCAAAGCATAAAGTGTATGATCTTTTCCCATTCCAACATAATCTCCTGGGTGGAAACGAGTGCCTCTTTGTCTCACAATGATATTCCCAGGTACCACTCTCTGTATTTTACAATTTTAAATGAATACAAAAGAAAAAATAATGTGATTTAAATATTTAATATGAATTTAGAAATTTAGTTGAACCTCGCCACCAAACTTCTTGACACCAAGCATCTTGGGTTTTGAGTCGCGTCCGTTTTTTGTTGACCCTGCTGTTTTTTTGGTGGCCCAACGTCTGAATATCATGCTCAATCCATCTCCAGTTACATCTATCATTCAGTTACAAAAAAATGTTACCACAATTAAAAGAATATAATGGAAGGACAAAAACAAAAGATTTTAAGAGGTGTACCTCTTGCAGAACTGTAGACAGGAATTTTTGTAACCAGGTTGCTAACAGTTAATCTTCTGCACAAAGAAGCTGCAAAATTCATCCTCCTCTTTTATGTAACTCAAACCTGTAGGCAATTTAAATAAAAAAAAAAGGATTTATAAATAATGAGAACAAGTTACTGAAGGCGCCTATATAACCTAATTGAGCAATTGTCAGAGCTTCTATTGAAAGAGGAGCATATAGAAGAAGGGGGAAGAGACTATGAGTAGAGATTGCAGGTCTCTAGTGAAAGGAAATCAGAAATTACAAACTTTTTAGAATTTTTTGTTTATGTAAAACCTTTTTTTCTTGGTACTTTATCATTATAAGGTATTTCCCTATCAAGATTTAAGGCATTTAAGACATCTATTTTTTTATTTTTTCAGAGGGACAATGCCATTAAACAGTAACCAGGTTTTAGATTTGTTCCAATCTAACTCAAGTTTCATTTTTATGAAACTTAATACATTTTTGTTCTGCTGCTATGTGATTTGAAAACCAAGTTTACCTTCCATCTGTTCTTCAGGTAAGCCCTAGTATTAAACAAAATGTGAGCTAAAGTTAAGTAGGCAACATCACAAGATGTATATAGCTTCATCTTTTGATGTAATATCATGGAAAGTAATGGCAGTATAGCACTAGCAAGTGCAAGTCCTTGCATAATCACAAGTACCAAAGATTTAGGAGCTCAAATGTCAAAAGATATATGATGCAAGCATCGTGTTAGTTGAATGTATCATTATTGCATCGCTATGAAGGATCGACGATTGAGAAGGAGTTGAAATTAGATTAGTCTGAAATATCCAACCATAATCAACCGACAGATGCAACTTCAGTCACTGGGAAACATCATAAATCCTTTACACCCTAATTCCAATGGAGAACATAACCCATTGAAAGAACATAAATTGAACTCTATACATAGAATGGATACATAAAGCTAACAAACAAGCACAAGGGTAATTGGTTTACGGTGTCTAAGTTAAATGTAAGACCTCAAATTCCTAGTTAAAAACCCAATTAAAGAATCAAACGAGGCAACTTGAATAATAACAACGTATACGGAACATGTTTTGATGTTAAACGAGGCAACTTGAATGATAAATAGATAACATCGTTCGATGCATCAGTACACCAAAAACATATAGAACAAAAACGAGAGGATCTGAAATCGACCAAAAAACAAGAAGCATTAGCACAGACGACAATGTGAAAACGATTTGCAACAAAAGAATTCATGATAAACAGTCATCCAGAAAATAAACCCTAGGTTAATTTCAAAGAAACACAAAAAGAGGATATATGAAGAGAAACCTAGAGAATTGAACACCTTGATGAAGCTGAACCTTAAAAGATTCGTCGAAGATCAACGTCGACGGAGTGAGTAGCCGCCGGCAGCCCGATCGCTATATACGAAATGAGCCGATGTTGACGAAGCGGGGAGAATCGGTTTTTCACTTTCAAGAACCTCTGTATACGTATTTACATATTACTCCTGAACTTCTTTGTTTTTACGGGTTTGTCTTTCAATCAATTTAGTATTTACAAAAATAGCCATATTCATTAATAAATTCGCAAAAAATAGCTAAAAATTAATATATATTTTTTTCGAAAACAGTCTTGCAAATCGGAAGTGATTAGGCTCATATGTGACTTCATGATCTAATGTACATGGGCTGCTAAATGGGCTCATTTAGACCCATAGAACCCATGAACCAATAATATATAAATCTAAATTTTTTGAAATAATTTTTAATTCTTACAAGAAATTCTTTCAATTCCCTATAACAACTCAAAAGAATAATATTCACTTGAAACTTAACAAGTAATCTATTTAGTTCATGTTATAATCGCGGTCTTATTAGTTATTATACATTTAAGATAAGTTTATAAGTGTTTATTAGTCAAAATTCAAAAATCTCGGTTGTAGTAGAGGAAATCACAACTATATGGCATGAAATCTTAGGTGGAAAATTGTTTTTTTTTGGAACGGCAATAGGTGGAAAATTGTTAGATGAGAATGAACAAGTCACTAATGCATACATCGTGCATCAGTGACTTGTACAATCACGTATCATCTTTCACTAACTGAAAAATGTACAAGTCTTTGATACGTGCATTATACATTAGTGACTTATACATTCGTAGGTCACACCAGAAGAATCGCAAATGGTTTTTAGCCATCTGCAATTATTTAAAAAAAATAATAAGACATTTTATGTCTACACAATATTAGGGTGGTCATGACCCGAAAATATGTCAAATCGCAGCCCATGAAGGTGATATCGTAGCTGGGAGTCATGAAATCACAGATGAGTCTAACCACTTACGATTCGTGTGATTATTTTCTGAAAACAAATCAAAATTATTTATTATTTATTTATATTTTTTATTTTCAATATATTTTTTTCATTTATTAGTTTACTAGACTATTTAAATACATTCAAAAAGTTTCACTCAATAAAAACCCTTAATATGTTTTTTTCTAAAAAAACTATCTATAAAATAATTAAACTATAATATATTTTTTGTTTATAAAATTTAATTCTCAACTAAATAATTTGTTTTTGTTTTTTATAAAGTTGATAAATATTCAAATTAGTTATATATTTAAAATATTTTAAACACAAATTAAATTAGTGTCGACACGCGACACATATAAACACGTGACACACGACATGTATAAAAACAAATTAAATTTGTATTTTTATGTAACACAGTTAAAAACGTGTTTAATCGAGGCTTGTCACAGGTCACATGGATTAATTACGTGTCGTGTTTGATACACAAAACACGTTTAACAATTCATGTCGTGTTTGTTTTTGCCAAATTCTTGTCGTATAAATTTGTGTTCGACAGGTATCACAGATTGTCCGGTCTAATTAAAACTTTTGGCTATGGCCTATGGGATGGGTTGGCAGGGAAGCTCGAGGATATGATTATAGTATTATACTATACTCTTGACATTATTGAATTGTTGAACGAGTTTAAGATCATATATTTTTCCTGTTTAGCAAATGATAATACTAAGAACAATATATGATGATACTACAACCTAATTCAAGGTGTTCAAAAAATGTTTTAGCACTAACATCCATAATCTGAAGAATCATTGTTTCTTCTCCCTGGACCAATCCCCACTCTTCCCTCCAGTTTTATGTTCCAATCGTACATCTGTAATCTGAATATGTTTTGATGCAGCCTTACACATATCATAAACAGTTAACCCAGCAAGAGTAACTGCTGTCAATGCTTCCATCTCAACCCCGGTTTTACCTGTTGAAGCAGCTTCCCCTCGTATTTCAACACAATAATCACAAGGGTTTAATCGTAAATCAACACCAACATGAGTTAAGTTGATATTGTGGCATAGTGGGATAAGATTACTAGTCTGTTTTGCTCCTGTTATTCCAGCTATCTTTGCTACACTAAGAACATCTCCCTTTGCAACCTGGTTGGCAGAAACTAAGTCGTATACTTTCTTCCCCAAAATAACTTTGCAGCTTGCAATTGCAACTCTCTTGCTAATATCCTTGTGAGACACATCCACCATTTGAGCTTCACCTTTCACACTAATATGGCTCAGTTTTGATTCATTTTCCATTTCCATTTTTATTTTTTCAACAGGTGTAATCTCCGAGTCTTGGGATATAGGTTGACTTTCACTGGAACCAGTAAGACTTGTAGGTGGAGCTTCACCAAAAACAAATTCCATCTCCTGAAAATTTTCAAACATTTTATAATTAATTCCCGTTTCTATAATGTCAAACTTCATCAATCATTAGTGTCCCATATAATATAAGTAGATTGAACATGGTCTAAATTTTTTTATGAGGTCTATTAATGCATCAATACATGCAATTCTTCTATGACATCTTCCCATTCTGGTGCAGATATAAGGAAAAAAAACAGATTTAATTCTTGAAGTTACAGAAATAATTAAAAGTGCACCTTATTAAGCTCATCAATGGTGCTGGCAATATCATGGCTGGTGCTGCTACTAAACAGCCTTCTTGATTTATGTAACATCAATGATGCCCGACGAAGATACATGACAGTAAAAAGCTCCCTTTATAAATACAGGAAGTACTGAATTAGGAGCAAATCTAATGAACCACATTTCTATATTCAGTCTCATTCATGCATTTTAACGAATACCTACAATGCTTTAAACCAATTTGTTAACGCAGATCAAAAGATCACAAAACCTTATTGTTCAAACTTCAAAGCATTATCTCAATAAGCTCATGTAAGTAAATTATTTACACTTACCATTGTTCGGAGATTAATGATGTCAGGACGAAAAACAATGATTCAAAACTTAGTCCTCTTGATTACAAATTTTGTGCTGTTAAATCGGTTTTTTACAGTTGAGCAGTGCAATGTTCTATGTAACACTTCAATGGTATGTGGGTCCGGGTCCGAGTTCGAATGCAAAATAATGAATCAATCTACAACAAAATATGAAATATAACTATATAACACTTGAACTATAGGCAGTAAATAAGTTGCAAAAATGAGTTATTTAGTTGATGAAGTTCTAGTAATGATTAATGAACTAATGAAGTTAAGAAATTTCACTAATGAAGTTCCAACATCCAATAAGGCAGTAACCAGCTATTGAAATCGAATCAAAATGTCAAAGCCAATGTAGCAATCACAATTCAAACTATCAAAGTCAAAATAAAAGTGAAAATAAACAACTTGAGTCACAATTCAAATAAGTCAAAATCAAAGAACCAAGGTCAGATAAAGAACCCAACTCCAGAAGTCAAATAATTACCATCAAAGTCGAAATAAAGAACTCTAAATGAAGTAAGATCCCATAATCTGTCAACATTGAACTTATGGTCAAGTAGAATAAGCAAAGGAAAAATGCAGAAATTACACAGCAACATTGAACTTATCTCTTAACATTAAACTTATCAGATTCAGCAACATCTCTCATAAATTACACAGCAACATCACAGATTTTATTGATAAAATAGTGACAATACACTGAGAAATAGATTACACAGCAACATCACATATTTTATTGACAAAACAGTGAGAAATAGAGCTTAAATCATCATATATCGGTAAACAAACACTGAGCCAACAGTGACTGTCGAGGGTAAATCAAGCAATCGGTAAATCAAACTCGTATCAGAGAGTAAAATAGAGGGTAGATTACCACTTAGCAGGGGATGTGAAGTCACGGACTCACGGTCGAGATATACGAACTTGAAGACACAGTACACAGTCGACTGTCGAGTCGGTCGACTGTCGTCGACAAAGCTGGTGACAGGAAAGGTCAAAGGCGTTGGGTCGCCGGTCACGTCTTGGGTGGGAGTGGGAGAAGTCGGCCGTATCTCGTAGTGGGATGTGATTGTGAAGTGAAGACCGAAGAAGCCTAACTCTATTTTCCATATGTATTTAAAATGATTTATTTAAAAAAAAAAAATGATTAATAATTATAAAATTTTATTATAAAAGTTTAATTAATTTTATTATAAACTAAAATATATATATATATATATATATATATAGATATATATATATATATATATATATATAGATATACTAGATGTATATATATATATATATATATATATATATATATATATATAGATATATATATAGATATATATATATAGATCTATATATATATATATATATATATATATATATATATATATATATATATATATATATATATACTAGATGTAACCTCGCACGTTGCGCAAAAATGCATTTAAATGGTTAAAATAATTATGGAAAAAAAATAGAAATATGTTGAAATTTACGTTTTTAGTCATGATTTGGGCATTAACCGAATTATCAATTAACATATATATATATATATATATATATATATATATATATATATATATATATATATATATATATATATATATATATATATATATATATATATATATACTAGATGTAACCTCGCGCGTTACGCAAAAATGCATTTAAATGGTTAAAATAATTATGAAAAAAATAGAAATATGTTGAAATTTACGTTTTTAGTCATGATTTGGGCATTAACCGAATTATCAAATAACATAAAAATTCATCAACTTATATTTTAATACTATCTAATATGGTCCATACCTTATAAACTTTACTTTTACTTTTAGTGAAGTCCTTGCATACCAAAGATTTAGGAGCTCAAAATGTCAAAAGATATATGATGCAAGCATCGTGTTAGTTGAATGTATCATTATTGCATCACTATGAAGGATCGGCGATTGAGAAGGAGTTGAAATTAGATTAGTCTGAAATATCCAACCATAATCAACCAACAAATGCAACTTCAGTCACTGGAAAACATCATAAATCCTTTACACCCTAATTCCAATGGAGAACATAATCCATTGAAAGAACATAAATTGAACTCTATACATAGAATGGATACATAAAGCTAACAAACAAGCGCAAGGGTAATTGGTTTACGGTGTCCAAGTTCAAATGTAAGACCTCAAATTCCTAGTTAAAAACCCAACTAAAGAATCAAACGAGGCAACTTGAACAATAACAACGTATACGGAACATGTTTTGATGTTAAACGAGGCAACTTGAATGATAAATTGATAACATCGTTCGATGCATCAGTACACCAAAAACATATAGAACAAAAAAACTTGAGGATCTGAAATCGACCAAAAAACGAGAAGCATTAGCACAGCCGACAATGTAAAAACGATTTGCAACAAAAGAATTCATGATAAACAGTCATCCAGAAAATAAACCTTAGGTTGATTTCAATGAAACACAAAAAAGGATATATGAAGAGAAACCTAGAGAATTGAACACCTTGATGAAGCTGCACCTTAAAAGATTCGTCGAAGATCAACGTCGACGGAGTAAGTAGCCGCTGGCAGCCCGATCGCTATATACGAAATGAGCCGATGTTGACGAAGCGGGGAGAATCGGTTTTTCACTTTCAAAAACCTCTGTATACGTATTTACATATTACTCGTGACCTTCTTTGTTTTTACGGGTTTGTCTTTCAATCAATTTTGTATTTACAAAAATAGCCATATTCATTAATAAATTCGCAAAAAACAGCTAAAAATTAATATATATTTTTTTCGAAAACAGTCTTGCAAATTGGAAGTGATTAGGCTCATATGTGATTTCATGATCTAATGTACATGGGCTGCTTTATGTTGTAATATATAAATCTAAAATTTTTGAAATAATTTTTATTTTTACATGAAATTCTTTCAATTCCCTATAACAACTCAAGAATAATATTCACTTGAAACTTAACAAGTAATCTATTTGGTTCATGTTGTAATCGCGTCTTATTAGTTATTATACATTTAAGATAAGTTTATAGGTGTTTATTAGTCAAAATTCAAAAATCTTGGTTGTAGTAGAGGAAATCACAACTATATGACATGAAATCTTAGGTGGAAAATTGTTAGATAAGAATGAACAAGTCACTAATCCATATATCGTGCATCAGTGACTTGTACAATCACGTGTCATCTTTCACTAACTGAAAATGTATAAGTCTTTGATACGTGCATTATACATTAGTGACTTATACATTCGTAGGTCACACCAGAGGAAATCGCAAATGGTTTTTAGCCATTTGCAATTATTTAAAAAATAATCATAATAAGTCATCTTATGCCTACATAATATTATGATGGTCATGGGCCGAAAATATGTCAACTTGCGGCCCATGAAGATGATATTGTAGCTGAGAGTCATGAAATCACAGATGAGTCTAACCACCTGCGATTCGTGTAGTTATTTTCTGAAAACAAATAATAATTATTTATTATTTAGCTATATTTTTTAATTTTCAATATATTTCTTTCATTTATTAGTTTACTAAACTGTTTTTTAAATAAATTCAAAAAGTTTCACTCAATAAAAAACCATAATATGTTTTTTTTTCTAAAAAAAATTATCTATAATATTTTAAACTATAATATATTTTTTGTTTATAAATTTTAATTCTCAACTAAATAATTTGTTTTTGTTTTTTATAAAGTTGACTAATATTCAAATTATTTATATATTTAAAATATTCTAAACACAAATTAAATTCGTGTTGACATGCGACCAAGGTTGTAAAAATCGTTCGGCGGTAGCTCGGCGGTCGACTGACGATAAGCGATTAATCGGACTAGGCGGGGATTAATCGGAGATTAATCGGGGACCCTTAATTATTAATAAAATTATTTAAAAATTTTATATTCCCTAAAAAACTAAGTATTTAAAAATTTAAAATTTTAAAAATTTGAAAATTTGAAAATTTTAGTTTAATATTTTAAAATTTGAAAGCTTAAAATTTTGAAATTTTAAAATTTTGGTGTAATATTTGAAAATTAAAATTTTTTGAATTTTTTAAAAAATTCCCGCCTATGACCGCCGAGACCGCCAAGGGCCGCCAAGGACCGCCCAATGCCGACTTTGACCGATTTTGACCAATTTCCGCCAAGCACCCTAATCGTAATCGGTTTATGGCCGTCAAGCGATTAATCGCCGATTAATCGGCCGCACGTATAAACACGTGACACACGACATGTATAAACACAAATTAAATTCATATTTTTATGTGACACAGTTAAAAACATGTTTAATCGTGGCTTGTCACAAGTCACATGGATTAATTACGTGTCGTGTGTGTGTTTGATACACAAAACACATTTAACATTTTGTGTCGTGTTTGTGTTTGTCATATTCTTGTCATATAAATTTGTGTCTGACAGGTATCACAGATTGCCTCGGTCTAATTAAAACTTTCGGCTATGGCCTATGGATGGGTTAGCAGGGACGCTCGAGGATATGATTATAGTATTATACTATACTCTTGACATTATCGAATTTTTGTATTGTTGAATGAGTTTAAGATCATATATTTTTCTTGTTTAGCAATAAGATGAAATTTTCTAAGGGTTTGGTATTTCTTTTAGATTTAGCAAATGATAATACTAAGGGGTCGTTTGATAGTTACCAATTGAGTTAGAACTGACTGGGTTAGAAGCTGATTGGGTTGAAAGTTCTGACTGAGTCAACTTCCTACTGAAATTTGTTGTTTGATTTTTCATATTACTGACTGACCAAAATGACTATATTACCCTCAAACAACATTTTTTAAAATAAAAACATTCAACTTACAGTAAAAAAAATAAAGAAATTAAAGATTTATAACCTTTGTTTGGAAAAAAAAAAAACCACTCAAACAACATTTTTTATGAAAACATTGCACTCTATTTGTTTCTCCAAAGGTTAAACATATCTTTTAAAACATAACAAAGCATACAAACATATATACATACAAACCATTCATCTGTTTTCATGTGGAAATATCAAATATTTTTTTTTTGGTTTTACACAAATATACACACGTTTTTCGCATAAACACAAATATATAGCCTAATTCAATGAAATTCTTCTTCATTATCACCAATCCAAGCTGGAATTTCACCTATTATCCAACAATCAGCAAAGAACAAAAATAAAAAAAACAACCACACAAATAATGGTTAAATAAAAATCAAAATTTTCAGCAAGAATCTATTGTGAGTCAGAATCGTTTTGCAGAGATAGATGAGATCAGAACCTAACAACAACCTAACAACAGGGAAGGGGGCGACGCATGAAAAAAAGGACAACAGCAATAACAGTAAAAAATCGGGGAAAAAAAAGCAAATAACATCACATTAAGCACAAATCGAGCAAAGCAAATGCACATCAACAACAAAAGGAACAAAAGAAGGACAGCGAAGTAGGAAATCACAGAAAAAAATTCAGCAAGAATCAAGCAACAAAAAATGAGAAAAAGGCAAGGAAAACTAACTTGGTCAGCAGACGTCTCCAGTTGAGTGGTCGGAGGAAGAAAGCAGTCGGTGAGCAGCGGGGTTGGGAGGAACCAACTTGCTGCTTTTTCTGTGGAGATTGTCACAAAGTGTAGGGCGAAATCGGAAAGGCAAGGCAACGAACGTTTTTGTCCCAGTCCATCAATTGAAAGTGAAGGACCGAATCAATCCTTTTTCTTGGACCGAGTCCACAACATGGACCGGGTCCTTGATTTTAAAACGAAATCAAACATCCTGATTGATCTTTTTTGGACCGGGTCCTCTCTTGGACCCGGTTAGAAGCAATATCAAACGAGCCCTAAGAACAATATCTGATGATACTACAACCTAATCCAATGTGTTGAAAAAATGTTTTAGCACTAACATGGATCCACTTGCGTCCACTAAGCTTATGGCGTTCAAATTTCACACGTCCTTCTTTTAAAGCATAAAAAGTGTATGATCTTTTCCCATTCCTACATAATCTCCTGGGTGGAAACGAGTGCCTCTTTGTCTTACAATGATATTCCTAGGTACCACTCTCTATATTTCCCAAATATAAATATAAATAAATAAACAAAACATATGATTTAAATATTTAAT